TGCAGAGGAAGGAGTTCTTCAGGATCGAAATGGTGATACGTTTCATCGAAAACGACTTGAATCGTGTTGAGGCGGAAAGAAGTTGTTCAGGCTCGAAATCGCGATACGTTTTGCCGAAAAGCCTTCTTCGAGCTCTGTAATGACTCCAGAAAGACTCAGCAAAGACTCCAGTCTTCACCGTGAAAGACTCCAGTCTTCCCCCTGAAAGACTCCACAAAGACTGAGTCTTTATCCGAGTCTCTACAGGTTCGTCCTTGAGCTAATTTTCGTCGAAATGCAGTTATAAACTCGCTCGAGATCGCATCGAAAGTTCATACGAAGGTTCGTCCTAGAGCTAATTTTTGTTGCGAAATGCAGTTATAAACGCGAACGAGATCGCATCGAAGGTTCATACGAAGGTTCATCCTTGAGATGCAGGAACGGGAAAGCCGAGTTCCATCAGTTCCGCGACGTGAGATTCATGAGCATGTTTGTATGCTTGAGGCGTATAAGCGGCAAGAGCCCACATGTTTCCGCGATGCTTTTCGAGCATGTGGTATTTCCGAGCATTGAATGAAACGGGCTTGTCATGCATGTCAACCCACGTTCCTCGAAGCAGCTTCTGACCGCTTTTCGTTTCCAGCAATGCAGTTGCATGTCCGTTTTCATCTTCGATCCAGACTCGACCTTCCGTAAAGTTGCCTAAAGTGATAGCATGATTGGCATGACCTTTCATGTTCAGGATATCGCGATGCAATGGCATTGACGGATTGTACAACACCGCGATGGAAGCCCACGTCTGAGACGGAAAGCGTTCTCTGAGAAACTGGTTCACGGCGATGCATGCATTTTTCATTTCAGATGCTCTTGAAATGCCAAAGACCCCACCGTGTCCAAAGAAGCCGAGAGTGCTGTATTTTTCATAAGCATGCGGACCGATGGCTCGAGTGCGCCCCCGATGCTTCCAGCGCGTAGACCATTTGTCGAGCAGCGCGACCAAGTTATGTTCGGATGCTCGGTTCATCACAGCCTCGCATGCAAAGTCGAGCTCGGCGTCGTCTTCTTTGCGAGACATGTTTATTTATGATGCAACATCACCCTTCTTTTTCTCAAGTTTCTCCACCCGCTTTTGCAGCTTCTTGACCACACCCCACAGCACCACGGATAGCTTTTGATAATCGAGCGCCATGAGCTCCCGGCCGTCCAGGTTCTTCGTTTTGCACATGGTCGCTCCCAGCTTCCCGCTGGCCTGCACGTCCTGGGCCACGAAGCCTATCTGCTCCTTGCCGCCGTCGATTCGGTCGTAGAGCTGTGGCTCCACGGCATCGAAGGTCTCTTGCAGCTCGTCCTCCGGGATGGCCCGGACGTTCTCTTTTAAGGCCCGGTCGCTCAGGTTGACAAACCCGTAGCCGAAGATCACCTCCCCGTCGTTGCTGCCCCCGACGTTGGGCTCGACGGCCAGGTTCGCCAGCCCTGACGTGGTGTTGATGCTGATGAACTGGGAGCTGCACGCCGCCGTTGGCCAGCGCCACCAGCCCGCCCTTTCCTCCGGCCGGGGTGTTGTTCTGCGTACCCAGGAATAGCCGTGCCACGCCCGTCGGTGCCTGGTTGATGACGGCCAGCTCGCAGAAGCCGCCGGGGTCCCCGAGCCCCGTGACGGTGGCGAATTTCGTGTTCAGCTAGTCCCGTGGTGCCGCCGGAGAGGTAGAGGTACGGCAGGCTGGGCTCGGGCGCGATGGCGCCGTTGACGAGGAGGGTGTCATTGACCAGGACCCCTTGCACGCCGCCCTCGATGGAGAGCCACGGCGCCGCCGGGTCGCAGCGCACCAGCGGGGCCTCGACCCGCAGGTTGCTCACGACCTGGAGGTTGGCAGTGACGCTGCTGTTGCTGTTGAAGGTCCCCGTTGCAGCGGTGCTGCCGACGAGCAATTGCGCGAAGTCCGCCGTGGTGGCGTTGAGGGTGCTGGCCGCGGCCACGGTTACATCTCGGTCCATGCTGATGCCGCCGTCGGCGAAGGAGGCCAGCAGCGCCCCGTCCTCCTTGCGGATGTGGTGACCAGTGCATTCTGGACCTGCAGGTCCCCCGCCGAGCTCCGGAGCTCGGGCGTGTCCACGAAGCTCGTGGCCGTCAGGCTGTTGGCGGTGAGGTCCGCCGCGGGGGCGACGCCTCCGCTGTTCTCCAGGGTGGTGACCCGGGAGTTGATGGAGGAGACCTGGGAGCCCAGGCTGTTGAAGGTGGCGATGAGGGGGTAGCGGCTGTCGCTTTGGGACTTGCTCCAGCAGTCCGCCTCGATCTCGAGCACGCTGCCGTTACCCAAGATCGCCGCTCCTGTGAGGGGCGACCTGAAAAGCAGGCTGCGCACGATGTGCGGCGTGAATTGCTTTTGCACGAGGTGGAAGATGCCGTTGCCCTCCGCCACGGCGGGATTGTTGGGGAAGAAGCGGGCGTCCAGCGGCGCGAAGTTGTTGTTCGCTAGGTAGCGCCCGTCGGCTTCCGCCTTCGTGTAGGCGTCGCAGGTGAGCTCCAGCGTGGTGTCCGCCACCCTGGGCGGTGCCACCAATCTGGTCAACGCACCCGCCTGGCCCGCGAACATTACCTGGGACCTGCTGGCCGGAACAAACACGGTGCGCAACTTGCACGCCGTGGCGCCGCTGAGCATCCAGCTGGCAAATGACAATTGGACTCTGAGCTTCACCTGCGATGCATACAGCACCGCTCAAACCGATGCCCTCCTGCTCCCGAGCGAGTCCTGGGTGACGACCCAGCTGGCGGCCTACTCGGACACCCCTGCGATGAACGCAGCCATCGCGGCGGCCCTCTGACAAATCACTTCACGCGGGCGGAAGCCACGGCGAACATCGTGGCCGCGATTGCCTCGGCCAACACTTACACCGACACCCAGCTGGCCGACTACAGCACCACGCTGCAGATGACCCAGGCCATCGCAGATGCGCTGGTGACCGCTGGTGCCCTACGGGACCGTGGTGCAGCGGGACGCCGCGATAGCGGCAGCACTGGCGCCTTATACTCGGACACCGCCGCGATGAACGCAGCCATCGCGGCGGGGCTGGCCACGATCGACCTGAGCCCCTATTGCGATAGCTCAAGTGCAAGCGGCCATCACGGCCGCGCTGGTGCCCGTCACTTTGAGCAACGGGCAGACCTGGAACGGCGGGCCGACCTTCAATTTGCTCCGGGGCACGAATGTGCTGCGCAACCTGTCCGTGGCGGGGGCCTTGACGGCCACCCTCCAAAATCTGGATGACACGATCCTGATCGAGTCCGACAGCTACGCCAGGAGCGAGGTTTACACCCAGGTCGAGACCGGAGCCGCCATCACGGCGGCCATCGACGCCCTGGACCTGTCCCAGTACCGGACGGAGACCCAGGTGCCGGCCCTGATCGCCGGGGAGCTGGTGCTATACTGGACCAAACAGAAGTGTCGAGCTTCGTGGCCGGCGAGCTCACGAACTATCAGACCAGCGCCCAGGTGAGCTCGGCCATCTCCTCGGCCCTGTCGAGCTACGACAACAGCAGCCAGGTCGACAACAAGATCATCACGGCTCTTCTCGATTTCTACACTCGAGCAGAGACGGACCAGGAGATCGCCAACGCCCTCGCGGGCATCGACCTGTCTGGCTACTACGACCAAGCCCAGACGGAAGCCTACGTGGCCAACGAGCTGCTGGGATCACGGCAGCCAAGCGGATCGGCCCAGGCACAAAACTGAGACACCTTGATGTGTCCGAATTCTATGTGCAAGGGGCCGTGCAAGCTGGAAAGGCCTTGCTGAGAAAAGTGAAAGGCACAGAGAACCCGGCGAACTTCCTTACGAAGCACGCTAAGACAGGCAACGAGGTTGCGCAAGCTTTGCCATCCCTTGCCATGGTGGATCCCACCTTGGTTGCGGGAGCCCCCGCTGCGGAACGGCACTCGGTGAAGCTTGTGCGGGAAAACCCGCCTAGTCAGTGGAAGCCGGTTCTCCCTTTCAGGCCTACGATAGCCATCGTCAACGCCATTTTGGCGGACCAAATCCTTGGAGTGAAGGCGCAGCCACGCGAGGAGGAGATCATCCAATGGGCCCTGCAGGCGACCATGCTGCTGGGTATGCTTACTTGGTTGGTTATCCTGTGGTTTGTGGTAAGGACGGTGACCGGGTGGTGCAGCCGAGCGCTGCGAAGGCCGAGGCAGCCGACAGGCCGGCAGCCAGAAGAGGAGCCCTCGGAGCCAACAGAAGAGCCCGAGGAAGAGCTACCAGAAGAACCCGGGAGCGAAGAAGTCCCGGAGGAGGTGGCAACGCCACCGGTAGCGGTCGAAGACCTCTTCCGCGCTCCGGCGCGGGCGGCTCCGCCTAGAGACCTAAGACCCCCGGCTCCTGAACCAGAGCCTCACGATGGGGATGCGGGAGCAGCCGCCGACGCGGCAGCCCCGCCGCCACCAGCGGCACCCCAGAACCTCGTCAACGGGGTGGTGCGGGCAAGGACTCCAACCTGGAGCACGCCTTCCCCCTGTGCCGCAGCACAACTTTGGGGAGCTGTACTATGCTCCGACCAGGCGCACAGTCCATCTCTATCGGAACTGTGTCGGTCTGGCATCCGTGCCACAAGGCAGGATCATCACCGAAAATCTCTGCTTCACCTGTTGGGGTGGAATGATCATTGGCCACAGGTGGGAGGACTTCTCTCACTTTCTTGTGGTCGGGGAAGACTACACGCCGCACGTGTTTCCACACTGCACGGAGATACGCGGGTGGGCCCGGCAGCTTCCAGTCTGCAGCCATTGCGGGAGCCATCACTTCGTACGTGACGGCTAGGCAGTAGCGGGAAGGGACCGCCCGAGCGGGGATTACTGTGAGACTGAATGTACGGGAGGCTCCGACTAGGGGCACAAAAGCACTCCCGACCCTGCCTGCGCACCGGCGGTGCGTTCCTTTTGGCTTGACGCGCAGATGCCTTCGGAAACCTGCATCGAGAGAGGGGTTCGGGACCAGCACTCTACACACAGGGCTCAGCGAGACAGATCATACGATAAAGTATTCATGAGGAAAGATGCCATCAAGCATAACGGTACCATCAAGTTTCACACTAATTCTCTGTCTCACCGTCCTGTTGCTGATCAGAACCCCCTCTTGCCCTATGGCGAGAGGCAAAAGAAGCTTTGCTGAAATGCTGTCCCACCAATCAGATGGGTTCTGGGGCTTGGTGAGGACGTCTCCCTTTTGGAGCGCTCCCGGTATCCAAGCGATTGGCAAACTGTCGTTCCACTTTTCGGAGCGTAGCCCCTGTCGCAGAGCGGCTAGGTCCACAGCTAGCCTTTTATCGCTAGGCACCCTCGGGATGCCCTGCTTGTTCAAATGGTCGTATAACGACCTGCAGTCGCTCAGGCAAAGGATGGGCAGCTCAGCAGCGTCCACGGCCGTCATGACCCCCTTTAGCAAGGTCTCGTACATAGACCTCACATATGGGCCCGTCTCGAGTCCTTCAGCGCACGCTTGGGTCTCTGCGCCGAAAGTGCTCCTGCAAACCCTTTGTCCCGCTCGAGACTTCCAGTCCGCCACATTGGCGTTCCCAGCCTGTCCGGCGAGGGCTGCCCTGTCGGCAAACATCACCAGGATCCCGAGTTGTGAAGCGACCTTGGAGTTGCCTTTCTTGGCCTTCCTTATGCAGCCATTCGCATACGGCCCCTCGGTCTGGAGGCCGTCGATGTTCTCCTGCTGAGTGAGCACGTAGTAGTCCTCCTCGGGGTCTGCCTCCGGGACGTTCGCCCAAGCCGCATCATGGAAGACGAGGATCATCAGGTTCCCTTTTGGGATCGGCTTGAACTCAAGTCCTCGCTCGCGGTACTGGTAGGCCTTCGTCGCGATGGCGTTGGTGAACTTAATGTCTCCATAGGTGGGGGCCTTCTGCAACTGCTACGCCATACTGACGGAACATGTCAAGTCAGGGCGAGTCTGGGCACTCATCCAAGACAAAGCACCGATCAGGCTGCGGTTGTCGCTAGATAGCTCTTGCGGGGCGACCTCGCTGTCGTCGATGCCGGCGGGGACCTCGATGGTAAAGAGGCGGGTCTCCGCGTACTTCTCCTGGGACATCTTGATGTGGTCGACGGCGACCACAATCCTTGAACCCAGGAACTCGAAGTCGTCGGCCTCCCAGGTCTGTATCTCGAACTTTCCGGCGAGGGCCTGCTGGATGATGTGCTGGAGCTTCCTTGGCCCGGCGATCAGCAGGTCGTCCACGTGACATCCCAAGTAGGCAACAGGGGTGCCGTAGAACTTTTCTCCGTCCCATTTACGCAAAGCAAAGACACACGGGTCCATGGCGGAGGGCTCGAAGCGGTAGACGTCGGTGTCCTCGGGAATCTTAATCTCGACCTCGTTGATCCCACTCTGTAGATCCTGCCACCATGTATGGGGACTGGTGGCCAGGCCGAAGACATTCTTCTTGATTCTCACCAACTGTCCCGGAAGCAATCCGGGAAACCCGGTCTTCGGCTGATGCATGTAGAGCTCCCGGGAGAGATAGCTTCCGGTGAGGAACGCGCATCTTATGTCGCCTGCAGCCAATGTCCAGGGGTCTTCTTCCAGGAGACCGTCTGCAGTTCTCTGGAGCATACAGGCAAGTCCGCTCCTGGACAATGTAGGGGCGTCCGTGCTCAGCCTGAGGTTCTCGTCGGTGAGGTCTGGGTCGGTGTGCCCGGCAATCACAAGCCGGGATTTACACTTCCAGGGTACATCTTCGCCTTCACGTCTGCGGGCCCAGTTTTTGTCCTTGTAGGCCCACCTGCTCCTCAGTATTCGCTCGGCTGGGACTTCCCACCGGACTCGGTCGCTTTCAGCGACCGACAATGGTTGTAGAGCGTCGAATGACAGATGCTCATTCCACTGGGTCGCTTCCGCTTCACGAAACTTCTCGTGGACCTCGGCCGGAATCTCCGACCACTTGAGCTCCTTCTCCTTGCGCTTCTCGAGGCCACGAGTAGTTAAGTGGGTCTTGAGCATCAATGCCTCGTGGCGGTCCGGGTTGAGCTCGGCCGCCGTAGTTTTCCTCTTCAACCTTCGTTTTGGGGCTGGCGTGGCGTCTTGTTCACGTAGGGGTTCCAGCTCCAGGTCCTCTTCTATCTCCAGGTCGTCAGCAGGTTGATCAACTTCGTCACCGGCCCAGCTCATTTCCTCGTCGATGTCGCGCATGAGCTCCTCCAAGTCCTCCTCGAACGCCTCGTCGCCGTCGGGGTCGTGGTTAAGAAGCATTTCTGCTTCTTTCTGAGTCCCCTTCATCGCCAGCAAAGCTCCCACTTCTTCTCCTGTAGTAGGACGAAGGTGTTCCGCTGATGTAAGCCGGCACCGCCCGCCTTTAGATATCCAGTAGTTGCCACCTTCCTTGCCGACGATGACTGCAGGGCCACTCCAGCATCCCTGCCGCCTGTTCTTTGGCTTGTGCCAGAAGTGCACGCTCTCACCGACATCAAGAGGACGGGCCGCGACACGGGTCCTTTGTAGGAGTGCCTTGCGCAATCGGCCGTCGGTCTGGCTTTCGTGGAAAGCAACGCGGGCGGCTGCTCTCATGGCCGACTGCCTCTGGTACTTGGCATCCTCGCTGATGTCCCACATAACATGTGCACCACCATCAGGGTCCTGGAGGTCTTCGGGGACCCTCGGGGCCTTTCCAACCGCCACATTCACTTCGTCTTCGCCGATGGAAAGCTGGTAGCTGATTTTCTGCCAGATGTGCTTCCACCAGGCCTGTTGCCGTTCAACAACTCCGGCTTGCCAGTGGCTTTGGGTCGCTACGCTCCGAACTCCGATTCCGTGCCAGTCGCACACACGCCCTAGGGCCGATTCTAGGCCGCCCTCCAGATCGATGACCACGGCTTTCGGGGGCCCGAACGGAACGAGCCACATCTCATTGAACTTCGCCTCGATGTCCTCGCCGGACTGGCCGTCGAGCTTTACCACGGTATGGTAGGTGGTGCCGTAATCGACCACGGAGAGGAACGCGTGCTTGACGTCATCCGTGTCGTGGCAGAAGAACAGGTCGAGGCCCAGCGTGTCGTTGAAGTCGGCCATGGGTGGTATGGTGCTCGGCCGTGCTATCTTCGGGGCCGTGTTGGCTTCACAGACCTGGCACCGCATTGACCGAGCTGCCTTCAGGATGGACTGGTCACAGCCCGCCAGGCGTAGGTGGCGGATGAGATCCTCTTGTCGGGGATGACCCAGGTTCTGGTGAAGACGACGGAGAGCTGTGGCCACCGGTCTCGGTGTGTCTTTGCCAAAGGATATTCCCGTCGCTCCCATAGCCAGGGCTTCGTTGTCTTGTCCCGGTTCTTCGGACGAGACCACTTTCACTTCGTGAACTCGCCCGGGACCTTCGACACGTTGAGTGGTCTCCTTGCCCTTAAAGAAGACCATGAAGACCTTGACCCCATCCTCGTTGCCATGTTGCTTGCAATCTCGCAAGCTAGGGTCTTTGTTGATGTGCTCGAAGAGGGTGTCGCCAGCCCCGCCGCTGAGCACCACGGTCCCTCCATCGTTCACCTGTTGCTTCATCAGCTCGAGGAGGGCTTCGTCGCATTCAGAAGACTTCCCATCCAGGTGAAGTCGTAGCTCCCTTGGAGTGCCGCCGTTCACGATGTGGAAGGCGTCGGTCTTTCCTTCGGGAGAACGGTAGCGCTCCCATGTCATCGGCTCAAAAACGTCCTTGCCAAGCTCGGCTGCTTGTTGGGTACTCTCCGTGTCGCCGATTTCGAAGAGTACGACCGGGTTACGCTGGACCTGTGGATGGACGTGCTCAGCAAGGTAGTTCCCGGCGGCAGATATGAGGGTCGCCATCATCACGCTGATCCGGGCAGCATTGTTGAAGATACTCCTCCGCACGCTCGCCTTCGGCTTGTTGCCGAGCTTGACCTCCCCAGTAGGACGGCCGGTCCCTTTGGGCAACGGAAACCCGCATCTTCGCAGGAACTTCTTCATCTCGTCGCCGGCCTTGTAGAGGTTGCGGGTGGTGTGGTAGGTGACGGCCCATCTGTTCCCATTCCATGCCTCCGTGCCGTGCTTGAGGAAGGGATCAAACTCAACAAACTTGTTCTTGGTGTCGTGAATTCTCCCGGGCACCTCCTCCTCCATTTGACGCCGTAGGTGTCGCTCTCGGTCACGGACTTGTCTTCGATCCACAAACCGCCCCCTTTTGTTTGTCCAAGCGAGGCGGTGAAGTTCGCCGTGCCCTTGAGGTTGTTGAAGTCGTGGTGCACCTCGGTCCCGGTGTTACGCGACAAACTCACTGAAGTCCAGGTGGCCTTGTCACCGAGGTAGTGCCGGGCGAAACCGTTCAAGTAGCGGGCGACGTTGTCGTGCTCCCGGGTCTTGGTCGTAGTTCCAACAACACCACCATGAGTGAACATCCCGTAGGTGAAGTAGTTGACTTTGTCGCCGGTCTTTCCACCAAAGACGCCGTCTCTTGTCGCCTTAACGGGGTCGTAGTCGAGGGTGTCCAAGAGCTTGCCGAGGGTGTTGAAGTCGAAGTCCTTGTTGAGGAGGGCCGCCGTGAACTCGTCGCGGTCCTGCTTGGCTGCGGTCTGGCAGGCAAAGTTCACCGTGTTATTGACAATGCCGCGCTCGAACTCCTCGTTGGACACGAAGATCCCGTGCAGGCCGGCGTGGTAGTCGGTCCCGCAACATCCATTCCTGTGCTCGGTGGTCTTACCGCCAAAATGGTCGCCACCGTGCTCATATTGCCCCTGTCGACCTTCACGAAGATCGTCACGATCTCGCCGAGGTCGAAAAACGTGCCCTCTCCCATCAGGTAGTAGACGATCAGGTCGGTCGTGCCCTTGGCATTCTCCTCCATGTAGCTGTTGTCGCCGACCTTCTCGCTCGTAGTGCTTTGTCGTGTGCTCGCTTACGGCTTGCTCCTTGGCAGGTGCGAGCTCCCCACCGAAAGAGCGGCTCCCGTCGCTCACTTCCCGGCCTTGGGCGGTGCGGAGCTCGCCTTCGCTTTCTGCTTCAGCACAGCCAATCTGGTCTCCAGGGCACGGATCTCCTCGAGGGTCGCGGGGTCTGCTTCGGCCTCCATGTCCGGAGAGTCGCCATGGGTGTTCCCGCGCTTCGTGGTCCTCGGGTCGTATGGTAGATCTCTGCTCGCCGGGATCGTCGGGTCGCGGTTCTCCACATGTGGGCGGCCCTCGGTCACCACGTCCTAGCCCGTTCCCGAAGACGCCGCTACGCTGCTGGTGTCCAAAGCGTACGGTACCGTCGCGTTCTCCTCGATCGTGCCCCGGTCGCCGTAGTGGGTCTCGTACTCCTTTGCCTCCCACCACTGGGCGAAGCGAACAAGTTCCACATGTGGGTTCGGACTCATTCGGATCTCGCGCGCTGCCCACATGCCGTAGGACCTCGGCACCTCCTGGTACTCGTAGCCCTTGAACTTGCCGATCTTCATGAGCTCCGTGCCGGGCGTCTTCGTGTGGTCCCTGATGAGCCGCATGAGGTTGCCTTTCGTCACCTGACTGGGGTACAAGACTCCCAGTTGGTCGGCTTTCTCCTTGAGCTCCGGCAGCGTGAGGCTGGTGATCGACTTCATCACCGTGGCCTGCTGTTGGTTCGGGTCGTTCATGCGGTGCTCCATGATCGTCGCCTTGATTTCTTCGCAAGTCCAATTGCGATGGACCACCAAGCCCACCCGGTTGCACTCGCTGAGAAGCTCGGCTTTGGTCATCTTCGAAATCGCCGGCGGCTTGCTGCATGCCATTTCCGAACGAAGGCGACGAGGGAAGGGGCGTCGAGCTAGATCGCACTTTCGCGAAAGAAGTTCTGCCAACCCAGAGCAGCGGAAAAGAACTTTCATCACGATTGCACTTCCACTGATCGACTGCGGTCTCAAGCGGCTTTCCTGATCTACAACAGAAGCCCTCGGTGACACGAAGATCCCCGATCGACTGCAGGAGCATGCCCTTCTGCACGGTATACTGGGTTTTCCATGTTGAGGGATTACACAAGGCTCTTCGAGGCACAACATGTATACGAAACCAATTGTGCTCCCCTTCAAACCAGAAGTCCGAATTGATCTTGGTCTTCTCCCACCATGTCATAAAGGACACACTGCAGAGTTGATCATGTGTGAGGAGCTCCTTGACTTCGGGGCTGAGTTTCTTATCGTAGAAAATCCTGTATGGAGGGGCCTTGGTAACCGTAGTAGTCGAAGTCGTTGAAGTAGTACTCTTGGTTATGGCCTTGGGTTCAGTTGGGGTTTCCTCGGGGTCCGACATTGTGAACTCGTTCGGGGAGAACCTGACAGCATCTACCCGCGACAATGCAAAAGCCATGTATTGCGAGCTGCCCGAGGTGCAAGTCTCTCCGACAACGAGCTTCTCGGCTCCATGCTCCGGCTTCGCCGGGATAATCGGGATAGCAGGGTGACCCGAAGAGGTGGTCACCAAATCAAAGTTCCGGAGGCCCACCTTTGTGAAGTCGGCCCGGTTCTCAGCAACATCGTACACCATCCCCAACTGTGCTAAGGCTGGCTTCGACATCAAAAGAGGAACGTCGCCGTTGATGATGGAGGTCTTCATCTCAACGGTCCTGTTCCCAAGGCGAAAACGAATGAGCACATGGAACGAAGAGTGGTGCACCTTTCCAGTCCCAAATCTGAAGGCTTCGGACTCTCGAATCAACTCGGGACTCTGGCCAATGAGCTTCAAGGCGTCGCTATACTGCTGGAGCCACATGGTCCCGGCCACGGCCTTAGCACACGCTGTGTCAGTGATGCCCAAGAGCGCGGCGCCGTCGTGCTTCAAAGAGAAAACCTCGGCGGGAACATGGTGGCACATCTCGACCTCCTTCGGCGCAGTCTTGGCGGCGCCCTGCGCCGATGTAGCATAGTTGGGGCACACCGGATCCCGGTGCCAATGGCCCTTCTTCCCGCAGCTCCCGCAAAACGACCTGGCCTTCATCAACTTCACCTTCTCGTCGCGACTGAGCTCGCTCTTGCGGTTGTTTCCATCCTTCGCGGCAGGCGGCCCTCGGTCGCCTTGGTAGCCCCTCGCTTTGGTCTGCTCCTTGTACTTCTCCTTGGCGCTCTGGTGGGTCGCGTAGGCCACCGCAACGTCCTCAGGGACCCCGTCTTCGAGCTCGATGTCCTCGGCCTGGCCGAAGTCCTCATCACCAGAATCGCCATCGCCGCCCGCAGTGAAGTGGGCGGTATGGGGCTTGCGTGCCCTGCCGTTCTCCCAGGGTTTCCGGTGCCCTCGGTCATGTAGCACCGCCGCCTGCTGTAGACGATGTAGGTTGTACTCGTTCCCGACGCTCGCCAGCAAGTTGAGCTCCTGAGCTTCTTCAAGCTGCAAACGGTCTATGTACAACCAAGCTGCACATTCTTGGGGGATGCTGCAGCCAACCTCTCGTAGTCTAGCATGTAGGCGGTCATATTCGGTGTTATACTCCCTGATAGATTGCCCCGCTCTTCTCTTTAGGCGCCGAAAGAAGTCCGAGAACGCCTTGCCGATGCGGGCCACCTCCAGGTCGAGGAACCTCGCGTTGATCCACGCGACGAAGTAGCTCACCCCATCGCTTGATCCCAAGCGAGGGACCGAAAGTTCTTCGGCAGCAATCCACACTTTGCCGCCCAGGTTCTGGTAGAGGACGAGTCCCTGCTGGGAGGCAGGGGGAAGTGTCATGCGCCTCCACGCCTCGATTTGGCGAAGATAACTCCTTGCAGACCCACCAACATCTTCAGTATCCTCGCCGGTAAAGGTAGGAATCGCCAACTTCTCCGAAGCTCTTCCTCCACCTGAGTAGCCTCCAGGATCACCCCGCTGACCTTGGAAGCCGCCATTGTCGTAGTGGGACCAACCGTTCCAAGCGAGTCCTTTTTCCTCAAAGACTCGCCCCTCGCCCCATGCTCCGGATCCTCGGTCAACATAATCGCTCCCTTGAAAACGGCCAGCTCGACCATCCGCCCAGGTATCTCCTTGAGCTCCCGGCCATCCGTGGTCGCGTGCTTGCCAATCATCGTCTCGCGCTCCTGTCCAAGGGTCACGACCGTGTGACCAAGGGTCCTCGCTGGAGTTGCTCCAGCGGTCGGCGGCTGCACCGGTCGTAGCAGTCGTCGCATCCCAGCTAGTGCGCCGCCCCCAGCCGATGTTAGCATCAGTGTCCCATCGCTGACCGTATTGCGCTCGGTCGCTTCCCCACGACTGAGACTCACGATCTCCCCAGCGACTCCAAGAGGAGTCGTTCCACTGATCGTCACCGACAGGAAGCTCTATGACATCGCCTCCCGCATCATCAAACTCATCATCGCCTCTCACAGCGCCATCGCCGTCAGGGGTGGTAGTAGCAGTCGTAGTCGGGCCGTCATTCGGTCCGTGGCTAGCATGGTTCGGCATGGCACGAAGGATCTAACTAGCTCCGCTACCAATGTGAGACTGAATGTACGGGAGGCTCCGACTAGGGGCACAAAAGCACTCCCGACCCTGCCTGCGCACCGGCGGTGCGTTCCTTTTGGCTTGACGCGCAGATGCCTTCGGAAACCTGCATCGAGAGAGGGGTTCGGGACCAGCACTCTACACACAGGGCTCAGCGAGACAGATCATACGATAAAGTATTCATGAGGAAAGATGCCATCAAGCATAACGGTACCATCAAGTTTCACAATTACCGCCAAGCCCTCGGCATTGGAGGGGGGTGCGAGAAATCCTGTAGGAATCCCTAAACCCAACACCCAAAGGCTTGAGCTAGGCTACCCTTTGTGTTTTCACTTGTACAGTTCGCGCTTTTACCACTGCGCACCGCAGCCCTTTGTGGTTCCAAAAAGAGGCGCACCTGCTTTGAGCCCGGTAGGTGCCCGTAGGTAGGAACCCGGCCGATTTAGGCTTCGCAAAAACAAGAGGATCGAGTTTGCTTGCAAGGGTTTTGCGAGGGTTCAGTGCAACTGACCGTGCTGCGGATTGGCATAATCAACTTCTATTACAAGACGCTTGGTGAGAAAGCATTTATATCGTAGCATCGATACCCCAAACTCACGCATTTGAAGTCTGATTTGATATTAATCAAAATTTAACCGAAGGCTTGTGTCATTGCTGACTTCTTGCGTTGGGTGATATTTTAGTTCATGGCATGGCAGGCCTTAGTGACAGCAGTTTGGAACTGTAGCGCCGACACGAGAAGAACATGAACAATGCCAAGCGCTGTAAGACGTTATGGCTGCGAGAGTTGACGTGCTCGCCCAATTGTTACATGGAGTGGAATGCTGGTGATCTTGTCTTGGTTGTGTTGGCTTGAGTTTGGGCCCCCTGTGCCGGCCACAAACCGTGGGCAAGACCCGAAGCTCTAAACCAACGCCCTGTAGACGATGTAGCAAAAGTAGATTGCGTGTGGCCAAACGCAATTGAGTTTCGCGTTTGGCAAAGTTTGGCAAGGGAAAGCATTTCTGGCACAGTGAACATGAAACGGTTGTGTTTTCTGTGCTGTAGTCGAAATTGAAATTCAGCTGAAACTTCAATAGCAGCATCAGAAACAGCAAAAATGTCAGAGAATGCAGAAAAAACTGCAAACGCTCGAATTTACCCTTCTCTGACTATTTTTGTCACTTGGAGGGCTTTGGACCATATTTGGACCCTCCTCGGTTCTCCTCGGTTCTTCCTCGGTTCTCCTCGGTTCTTCCTCGGTTCTCCTCGGTTCTTCCTCGGTTCTCCTCGGTTCTCCTCGCTTCTCCTCGGTTCTCCTCTGTTCGTCTTGGTTGTTTTGTGTTGTGGTCCTGTTTTCAAGCGGTCTTGATGTGTTTTTTGTGTTGTTGCTAGGTTTTTGCATGGATTTGGGGTTTTGTTGTGAACGCTGGTGATTTTGCAACTTGTTGTAGCTTTTTGCCCGTTTCACGTTCACTGTGCCATAGTTGCTTCTTGCCGAGATTTTCAGCATTTTGAAAATAGCGTTTGCGTTTGCTGTTGTTGGGCTCTAAAGTTGGGCCTTGGGCCGCCCGCTGAGACGCTTTGGACTCGCAAACTCTGGCCCGTTCGCTTGCTGAAGCGCGACAACAAAAAACATCTTCTTCACTAGCGTTCACTTGCTGAAACGCGGCAAGACAAGACGATACAAAAAGAAAAATGTTTACTCCCACGCAACTGCAGCTGTTGCTCGTGATGCTCTCTTAAACCTGAAACCCTGGGCCCTAAACCCTTAAGCCCTAAGCCTTAAACCCTCACTGGCAACAGGGCGCCGACGAGTGGGGCAGGGTGGGGTGGGGCTGCGTTGAGGATTACATTACGACCTTCGGTCAAAATGACTTATAATTTATAATATATTGGTTTCCATGTGATTGAGATTCCTTCTATAACCATCCACTCAAGAGTCGAAGTACAGACCGTAAGGTGGGCACATCGTACATGGGGTGCGACAGGGTTCAATATCGATAAATTCACATTCAGACTGATATCGTGCGAACCTTGGCAAACAGCAGCCTTGTCATGCTTTGTGTACCGTGTGTATTTGCTACCCTGACAGCCCAGAATCGTGCTTGCGGAATGCCATTGCGGCTATGTGCCGAACAGCACCTGTTATGTGGTTCAT